ATACAAAAAAAAAATGTATTCTTTGCTGGTGTGCTGGTTTTGGCTGGGGTAGAGTTCATTTTCTCCATAGTAGCTGGTATGGAGCTGTGATTTGGATTTGTGATAAAACAGTGTTGATAACACAGGGATGTGTTCATGCTGAGCAGTGCTCACACAGAGTCAAGGCCTTTTCTGCTCCTCATTCCACCAGCAAGCAGGCTGGGGGTGCACAAGGAGCTGGGTGGGGACACAGGTGGGACAGCTGATCCCAACTGACCCAAGGGATAATCACACATGCTCTGCATGTAACACTGGGGGAAGAAGGAAAAGAGGGATATTGGCAGTGACGGCATTTGTTTTCCCAAGGAACCATCCCATGTGATGGAGCCCTGCTTTCTTGGAGATGGCTGAACACCTGTGATGGGAAGTGGTGAATGAATTCCTTGTTTTGCTTTACCTATTAAACTACCTTTATCCCAACCCATGAGCTTTACCTTTTTTGCAAGTGTCTCCCCCATCCCACTCGGGAGCAGTGAGTGAATAGCTGGGTGGTGTTTTGCTGCATGCAGGGTTAAACCACACCACCACATGAAGGCTGCTTTTCCCCTGCATACTGCAGATGTCTGACTCCCCTGGTAACTCTGCAAAATTGGGCATTTTAGAAGTAAAATTCTTGAAGTTTACATCCTTTTGGAAGGCATGGACAAGAAATGAAAGGCAGAGTGGATGAAGGCTGCTCCACAACAAATATTTAAATAAACTTTCAAGTACATTATTATCTGCTTTAGGACCATAAAATTGCCTGCTTTCCAAGACATTTAATGATCCAGTTCTTAACATTTAACAGCATAGCTAGAAAGAGACACTATTCAGCAACTATTCTAGAGGTTAATAAAGCCATGTGAAATCTTCATAATTCTGGCATGATGAACCATCTTAGCAGTTCAGTAAAACTCTAAATTTGAAAGTTTGAAACCTCACACACCATCTTCAGATGTTTCCAAATGATACTACTTCAGTTTGTAGGACTTTCCCTCTTAATTCTGGTTTTGGCTCTCTTGCTTCAGGCTGTCTGTTATAATAACACATTATGTTTGACCTACCAAACACATTATGTTTGACCTACCAGCAACAGAGATATAGCATTATCTCTTTATATGTAAATACGAACTGTATGAACAACACAATCCAAATCTAAACACTTGACTACCCCTTTGATTTCTGCCAAAAGGGCAAAAAGCCATCCAATTTGTAAAAAAAAGCATCCCTAGAATTAGTCACAAATCCCCATTCCTTCAATGAGCCATTAAAGAGTCACAGAAGTCTCAAGCCAGCAATGCAATAATCCACAAAGAAGGCTGTAACAGGTCAGGAAATTAAGAATTACAGCTGGTTTAGGATCAGTCTCTGGACTGCCCTTGGGTATCTACAATTATATATCATAATTCTTGCTAGTCACTTAATAGGGTTTATTTCCCCTTTGGTAGCGTGCAGGAGCTGGAGCTTGTAGAAGATAAAATGAGAGTGCAGACTTGATCTAATGTTCCTCTTATTTTGTGTCAAAATTGAGCATTGTCTCTTTAGACTCTAACTTGCACTGCCCTCAGAAGCACCCAATAGATTCTGAGTCATTTAATAAGCCTTTGGTGACCTTTTCCCACCAGTGTTGGCGAACATTTATTTCTTCCAGTTTTATAAAACACATCTAGGGGCATTCTTCCTGTGCTCTCAAATTACAAATCACTGCAGGAACACAGACAGCAACTGCTCACAACCACGCTGCCTTCAACCCACTCAACCTGAAGCAAAAAAAGCAAGGTAGGAGCTGTTGCAGGCAGTGGAAAAGCAAGTGCAGGCTGTGACAGGAGATGGCCCTGTACTGGTGGCTCATCAGAGAACACTGCCAATCAATAGCTCCTACGTCCCTGCCCACTACTTACCTCGAGAGACTGGGACCTAAACGATTTAAAGATGAAAAGCAGCACCTCAGCTTCCCTATGGGATTCCGCAATGTGCAAGTGTAGTGTGTTAAAAGCTAAGGTCAAGCATTCCTGGTCACAACTTGCAAGCACAGCAGCATCATGCATTATTTCCTTCTAATTCTAATGGTGGGCTGCATGGTCCCAAAGCAGAGCCTCAACTGTACAACAGTACAACAACCCTGAAGGCATACAGACCTTCCCAAAACTATCCTGCATTAGGGAATGGCTATTTCAGCCACCTAGAAAACCATTTTCTTGACATTACAGCAACTGAAATAAAAGGCAGCAAAGTGATTCGAAGTCCTTAAATATGAGCAACTCTTTCATTCACACTGGGGATGAGATAGCCTTAAGATGACACTTTACAGTGACAAACCAGTGCACTCTGTCAGTGATAATGCAAAAACTCTGTCACACAAACTGGGGAATGTGGTGGATGCAAAACCTCAAGACCAGAAAGATGGTGAAGTGCTTTGGCAGTCATGTATTTGCTGCCATACCCATGACTAGAAAGAAACATGCCAAAAAAGCCAGGACAGGAATAAAAACAGGACTACAGAAACCCATAAGAAATGAATTACAAACCAAGCCTCTAATAAATCTGACATCTTGGGAAGAGGAATTTTGTTTTAGAGTCACAACCACAGGACACAGACAAAATTCTCACAAATAATAAACCAAATGATGTTCAAAATACTGTTTTCATAACAGAATAGCTATCATTTGGCTTTTTTATTTCACATCCAATTTCAGATAAATCCTTATACTAACACAGAAAGGGAAAGCATATCCATAAAAAGAGGTAAGACTTTATCAGTATACATTTTTAACTGTGAAAGGAGGAAGAGGAGGAGAAGGAAGAAGAATCCTCTCCCATTAGAGGGGCTGTACAGCCAGCGCAGCTATTAGCTGCACAACCCACCGGGGGGGGTGTGTGTGCTCCTGGAGGCTGAAGCCCCTGGGCTGACTGCCAGGCATGTCTGCCCCACTTATCAGTGCAAATGCCAGACAGACCATGGAATGGAGCTTCTCAGTTTTAACTGTTAAGAAATCAAAGTTTTCTTTGGAAAGAAGCCAGAGCCTTGAAATCTGAAATTGTAACATGTTTTAAAAGCTTTTTCAAACATGGAGAAGCAACACTTTGGAAGAGCTAGACAGAAACACAAGTAATTATGAAACAAGGTCACTGGTAGCTGTCAGGAAGATTTTAAGATGGCTCCCACCACAAGAACTTCCCAGGCAAGCTCTCTGGAAGAAGCAGTTCAGAACAGTTCATCCAAGGATGACCCATTTTCTAATCACAGCAGCAACTGAACACAGAGTGTGTGCTGATGACACTAAGCTGTGTGGCTCGGTT